TAAAATATTAACATAGAATTAAATATTTACTAATTATTTTATTTGAAATCTTTCCAAAATTTTCTCATTTTTGTAAATTTAGTCATTGTTTTTTATATTTAATGAGCATATAGTTGCATTTAGTTTTTTTTTTAAAAATCTATGCTGATAATCTTTGTCTTTTAATTGGAGAGTTTAATACATTTATATTTAGTACAATTATTGATGTGCTTGGCTTTAAATCTATCACTTAAATTTTTCATTTTCTGTTTGTCCCATATATTTTTGTTCATCAGTTTCTCCTTTATATTTTTCCCTTTCTTTTATACTTGATGAATATATTTTAGAATTATTTTTAAAGGTATCTATTTTATTTATGCTTCTTCCATTACCTTTTGTGGTTGCTCCAGAAATTATAATATATGCACTCATTTTTAGTCTGCTCTGAGTTTTTTGTGCCATTTATAAAATGTAAGTTTCTTACAATCCTGTAAGTCATTGGACCACTATTTTTCTCCTGGGATCCTTGCTTTCCAACAACTACTTACCCTGAACTCTGGTTCTTCAATGTTGTGAAACTGTGTGTTTCTAACTTTACTATTTTTAGTGCTTATGTGGATGTAAATGAAGCCTGCTGTCAGATAAAGAGCTTTACAAATGGGAAATTCAGTGCTGTTTCTCTTTTTCCATGTGTTGACTCATGTCCAGTTTCTTTTTTCTCTCCTTCCTTCTTTCTTTTTCTTTAACTGTCTCTTCCTCTCTCATGTGATCTCATTTATAGAAATTTCCATTGCTGCTAAGAAAGTGAATTCAGTTATAAATAGATAAAATATTCCACAGATGTCTGTTGGTTTTCAGAGTCTTTTAAAAAAATATTTATTTATTTTTTAGTTGTAGTTGGATGCAATACCTTTATTTCACTTATTTATTTTTATGTGGTGCTGAGGATCGAACCCAAGGTCTTGCATGTACGAGGCTAGCGCTCTACTGCTGAGCCACAATCAGAGTCTTTACTTAGTTTCTATCTGAATGTTTTATGTAGTGGTGAGAAAGGTATATCAAAATCACCCAGTATTACTGTTTTGTGGTCTATTTGATTTTTTTTATATTAAGAAGTACTTGCTTTATTATGTAGGTGTACCATTGTATGGGGCATAAATATTTACAAACTTTATATATTGTTGCTACATGACTCCTTAACCAATATAAAGTGATCTTCTTGATCTCTTCTGATTAATTTTGGCTTGAAATCTACTTCGTCTGATATGAGAGTTGCTACCCCTGCTTTCTTTTGGTTACCATTTGCAATATATATCTTTTCCTATCCTTTCACCTTCAGTTTATGGTCATCTTTGCCTGTAAGTTGTGTTTCTTGTAAATAACATATGGTTGTTTTA